ATTTTCTCCACCATTTCTGCAGTTATAACAAGTTCTTGTATTTCAACTTGCTTTTTATTCTTCTCCACCTCCTTTATCCAAGCTGCATTCTTCTTTTATTTCTTTGGGTTATACCATAGCTGCACCTAGAACTGTGATGTTTCTTCTTCGTGAGATGTTGATTGGTTCACTGCAGCCTCTCCGCTGATGAGGCATTTAGAAGCATTTCTGATTAAACAGAAGGCATTCGATAACTTGAACTGGAACTTCCTCATATTACAATTAGAGGCTATGGATTTTGGCGATAAATTTATACAAATGATTAGGAAAGTATACTCCTCTCAAACGGCAAAAATTATAATTAATGGGGACATGACAGATAATTTGGATATACAAAAAGGTGTGAGGCAAGGATGCCCTCTATCCCCACTACTGTTTATAATATCATTGGAAATTTTATTAAACGAAATCAGGAAGGATGAAGAAATAAAAGGTCTGAGAATACAAAAAGAGGAATATAAATTACAAGCCTTCGCCGATGATGTGGTGTTTATGTTGGAACAACCGGAAACAGCAGGAATCAAACTCTTAGCAAAGATAGAGGAATATGGAAGAGTGGCGGGGCTCAAAATCAACAAACAAAAAACTAAAGCACTAACAAAAAACCTGACAAAGGTACAGGAGACAAAGTTAGAAGATAAACTAGGAATACAAATTGTAAAAAAAGTAATGTATCTAGGAATTTGGCTCACCACTAAAACAACATCAATTAGAGAGGACAACTATACTAAACTGATGAAACAAATTAAAAAGGATTTGGAAACATGGAACAAACTACAACTGTCATTTTTAGGGAAAATCGCATCTATAAAAATGAATATACTACCCAGATTACTCTACTTCTTTCAAGTAACTCCAATTTGGCCAGGAAAGGATTTCTTTAAGGACCTTAATAAAATAACAACAAAATATATCTGGCAAAGAAAAAAGGCCAGAATTAAAATAAAATGTTTGCAAGATATCCGGGAAAAGGGAGGATTAGGCCTACCAGACTGGGAGTTATATTACAAAGCAGCATCGCTAAATTGGATAAGAGACTGGATAGACCTCAAAAATAAAAGAACACTACTCCTAGAGGGATTTGAACTACAATGAGGCTGGCACACATTTCTGTGGGAGGTAAAAGATAAACAACACGGATACTTCCAACAACATATTATTAGAGGATCACTAAACAAAACATGGCAAGAGATTAGAAAGCAGCATTACACCAAAATTCCGCAATGGCTATCGACCATGGAAGCATTGATTTATCCAAATGCCATGGACATAGAGAAAATGAGAAACTACAAAGAATTATTGAATAATGAAGGAGACTTACAAACGAGACAAGAATTGAAAAATCAGGGTATAGACATTGATTGGTAGCCATATTTGCAAATAGAATTAAGATATAAAACAGATTGGGCACAATTCGGATTTCAAAATGAACCAAATGAATTAGATGAGATATTACAAGGTACAGATGAGAAAATGATAACCAAAATTTATAACTATTTAATAAAATATAAACTAGAAGAGGAGGTGGTTAAAGAAAACATGATAACTTGGGCAAAAAACATAGGATACAGCATCGAATTGGATAACTGGGAAAAAATATGGAAGGTAAATTACAAGCTGACAAGGTCTATACCCTATAAGGAAAATCTGTACAAAATGTTCTACCGATGGCACCTCCCACCGGCGCGCCTGGCAAAAATGTTCCCAAATACATCTCCAATGTGTTGGAAATGTAAATCACAAAAGGGAACATACTATCATCTCTGGTGGTCATGCCGAAAGGCGAAACAATATTGGCAAGAAATTAAGAAAATGATTGAAGAAATTATAAAACAGAAGTTGGAAATGAGGCTGGAAATCTTTTTATTGGGAATAATTACAGCACAATATACCAAAGAAATCAAATACTTAATTATTCATATCTTAACAGCAAAACGCATACTCTTTGCCCAAAATTGGAAATCTGAGCAATTACCGACAGAAAACAAAATAATCGCAAAAATTACAGAATGAGCAGAAATGGATAGGCTTACAAAGGAACTACAAGAGAAAGATGATACTGATTACTATTTAGTGTGGCAAAGATGGTATAGCTGGCTGGAGAAAAAGATAGGAACATAAAAATAACTTTGAGTACCTAATAGGAAATGTAAAGAACTAAACAAAGAGCGGATTATAAATGTTCTGTATATAAATATGTAAATATGTAAATATAGATATGCATAGAGAAAGATAAGAAAAATAGAAAAATAACCCATCAATGTGATAGCTTTAAGAGTCAGTCGTAAGACTGAATTGATGTTTGTTTGTTTTGTATGTTGTTTTAATGTATGTTGTTTGTTTGTATTTTTAATCAATAAAAAATATTAAATAATAAAAAAAAAGAAAGTGGAGATTTTGCAATTTGAGGCACTATCTGCAGATCTTCTGGGATATAACTTATTGGGTGCTTTATTATTTCCAGTGCTTCCTTAGCCTTCATTGCCTCTAGGTGATATTTCTTGATCAAGTATTTTTTTAGTCTGCTGTTCTTCAGCTTTGTTTCTTTTATGTGTTCAAAATTAATTTTCATATGGGGTTAGGGAGAGCTTTAAATATCAAATAAAATAGGCAATTTGTTACAGTATGTTTTAAGAGTAAATAGTTTTGTCACCATTAAAATTTGAGGGGCTATCACAGAGAAGAGGGGGTCAACCTATTCTTCAAAACACCGGAAGGCAGAACAAGAAGCAATGGATAGAAACGTATCAAGGAGAGATCCAACTTAGAACTAAGACATTCCCTGAAAGTGAGAACAATTGATCACTGGAATGGCTTGCCTCCAGAAGTTATGGGTGCTCCATCACTTGAGGTTTTTAAGAAGAGATTAGACAGCCATTTATCCAGAATAGCATAGGGTCTCCTGCTTGAGCAAGATGTTCATCTAGAGGACCTCCAAGGTGCCTTCCAACTCCATTGTTCTGTATTCTATTCTATTTTGTATAATAATCCTGATTTTTATAGATATGCAGGCCTGCCAGATTTAGTTTCCTACAAAATATTCAATGCTGGATTCTTTGTTTAGCTGCTCTCTCTCCCCCTCAGAATGCTAGATGTTGACCCTCATAGCTTTTGCTTCCCACTCTACCCCTTCATCAACTGGAGCCATAGAAGTGAAACATTCTTCATCATTCGGTGTGTTCTCTGCGATTCAATGCTTATGTTTTAAACTCTGTATTAAAGTGGACACTGAAATGGACTTTCATCACTTCAGTGGACTTTGTGATGAAAGTGATCCCACAAAATTGGAAGCCACAGATTAAGAAAAATCGTATTGCAATAATGAGGCAGTGTGGTTTAAAAATAGTGCAATTGTTCCTCCTTACACCATAATATACAGTACATTATTGACAAATTAACAGTTCAGTTAAACCACAGCCTCAGCTAAGAACCTGACTGGATTTCTACATTATTCCAAACAAAATTGAACAAGAAAATGGAACAAGAAAATTGAATTTAAAAGGTCATGGAAGTCATCGTCTGCTTTACTTTCCTTTAAAATACTTAGAAGACATGAAATGGAGCATGTTGTAAAAGGTGAAGAATTCTACATTCCAAAATTTATTTTAAATAGCAGAATGATTCAGTCAATGTACACTGTTGTACAGAAGATAAACTGCTTACTTTAAACTTGTTACCAGAACTTAATGCATCAAGAATACCTTTGCCAACTTTCTTGATTCAGGTGAGAGGCATTAGATTTAATTTATATTTATGGCCAGATGCTACCATCCATTGTGATTCTATGGAGCATAGGTTCTTCCACTTTTTATGTTTTTGAGAAAGTTATATAAAAAGCAACACTTCCCTTAATGACTCTTCCCTGTTCTTTCCTTTATCCAGAATCACAATATGCCAGCAATTCTCTGTCTTATTTTATTGCTTATTTCATTGTTTTTAGTATAGCTGTCCATCTCAAACCAGTGACTCTGGGCAACAAACAATCATAAATACAATTAAAACACATTAAAGAAATTAAATACAAACAACAGCCAAGAAATCTTACAATCTGTCAGTGTCAACATAACCAGGAAATAGAGCACACTCAGGTCCCACATCCTAGACACATAACCCAATGTTCAAGGCCTTCCCAAAGGCCAGCAGGGTCAGATCCAGGGGTGGGTTCTAAATTTTTTTACTACCGGTTCTGTGAGCGTGGCCTATTTTGTGGGTGCTGCTTGGAGGTCATGTGACTAGGTGGGCGTGGCTAGCTGGTAAGAGTCATTTCTGGAAGGTCCTCGCACTTACGACCCGACTCATTTGTTTGCTTTTAACACTGATCAGCTGTAGGACAGCCCTTTGAAGCCCCGTGGCAAGAGTTTAAACAGTTTTTTTCCCTCTAGTCATCAGCTGGGACTCAGGAGGCAGCAATAGATTGGGGATGGGCCAAATAAAAGGTAAGAATAACGTGGGGGGGCAGGGGGGAGAACCGGTTCGGTGATGTCATATCGTCACCGCTACTGGCTCGGCCGAACCCGACCGAACCGGGAGGAACCCACCACTGGTCAGATCCATCCTAATCCCTGGGAGAAGGGTGTTCCAGAGACAGAAAAGGCATTCCTCCTGATAACTGCCATCTGTAATGTGACCAGGAGCATGCCCATCCTGCTGGACCAGATTAGACAGGTAGAAATAATTGGAAAAAGACACTCCCTCAGTTAACACAGTTCTACAACATGAAGGGCTTTATACTTTTATTACACCTGAAAACACACTGTAAACCAATGCAACCCCTGAAACAATAGTGGTGGGTGGGTGGGTGGATGTACACACACCGTTCAAATATTAAATTGGCCTTTACTCTTAACAGGAATATATTTGCACTAAATTAAGTTTACATGAACAATTTATTAAAAACTATAATAACTGAGGAAAAAGTAATGATATTTGCCTGGAAAATATGGACAAAAATAAAAACGATAGAGAGCTTCTTTCTTTATTTAATTGAATATGAATAGTGAGATTTATTTATGAGAGAAAATATTCAAGCAAGTCTATGGTGATCATGAGAATGAAATCAATGACTGGATGAGTAGATCTGATAATTTGAACTTTGACTTTGGACAATGTCTTCCCATTTCCACCCAATGTAATGGTTATTGTCCTTTTCCTGTAAGCTTGTCATACTCTTTAAAAATAGGATGAAGACCACTTGAGATATGACTGTTTTGTGGAATGTCAGTTCTTCACAGTTTCCTCTAGAGAAAACAGAAGGATTTTAGCACTAGCAAGTTGTCCACAAAATAATATCTTTCTAAGTTATTTATGAAACTGGTTATGATTACTTGGATTCACAATAAATATGTATATATGAGGAAATTTCTTCCAAATAATATTGTGTAATTTACTACTATTACTTGTTTGAATAAAAGAGACTGGCTTTCAAATATTTTTTTGCTTAATGTACAAAACAATGTGTGTTGAAGCCTTCTAAAATACATTTTAACATAGATTTTTTCATAAAATATACAAACTTTTCATTTTCTTAGAAACAATTTTCATTTCATTTTCAATTTTCTTTTCATTAGCTATATATCATACAATCCTTGATTCTGTTATCTCTGGCTTTATGACCGTAGTAAATGGTAACATGCTACATTCTTAATTGCTATAAACTGTTCTAGAATCAATCAATATAGAATGAATAGAACAAACCTTGGGGCATGGTCCTATATTCTGTATGCCAATCTCAGATTTAGTTTTCCTGGAAAAACAAAGTAGAGATATAAAGACCACAGTTAAATCCCTAATTTAAAATTGAACAATATTGTGAATATTATGGCTATTTATACAAACGTAAATCCATGTTCAGTTGAACATTATCACAAACTTTTCTCAGAAGAGATTTAGTATTAAGAGGAACTTCTACTCCACCATCAAAATTTAGAAATGTTCTTGATCCTAATTTCAGTTCAAACATTTCAGTTGTATTTTTGCTGATGACTCTTTCTGCCCCTGTAGCAATATCTTTTACAAATCATGACAGTGTCTTCTTTCAGCTGGAAAATCTGAGTCCTTATAATTGTGTGAGGATAAAAAGGGAGGCTAGGTAATATAAGCATGTATATTAACTTCTGGAAAGGAAAAGACACCATATGCAGAATTAAATCAGACAAAGCAGTCTGAGAAATTTCAGTAATTGGTTTATATACTTCTTGGTTGCTTTTGATGGGGAGGGGGGTAATTTGGTGCAATGGTTAAGGGTGCTAGAGTAAAAGTTGTGAAACAAAAATAAATAAATTCTTTCTTCAGCGATCATTTGTTCCATTTTGCAAAAACCAAAGGCAAATACTTTGGTCTTTTAGCTAGACAAAATTGTCCAAGATGACTACAGGTAAGGCAAACTGTGGAAAGGAGACATGTAAGCATATACTCACAGAATTTGATTGCAGAGCACACATTCATTCTTATATGTCACACCATCAGTGCCGCAAACCTCTGGAGGGATCAGTTTGCAAAGGACTTGTCCTCTGGTTTGGGGATACTTGCTGCAATCAACCTAAAGAGAATTACTGGTATGGGCAACTTGCGGAATCCAACTAGACTTGAGTCTTTTCTGTGTCTTCCCACATTAAACATATTTTGCAAATTTGGAAAATGAAATGCAATACGTCTTTGGCAGAACTTAGTATTTGGGTTATTCCATTTCATTCCACTAGTAAAAAGGAATGTCACTATGGAACTGATCTCATTCTTGATATCCCTTTGCCAACTTTCTCGATTCAGGTGAGAGGCAGCATGTCATTAGATTTAATTTATATTTATGGAGCTGAATTCAGCACATTACCACCCCCACCCCCATTTTTTCTTATTTAAGAATTCTCTATGATGAGAACAAGGGCTACTTGTTTCATAAATACTGTCTAATTCCAGGACAGCTGACAACAAAACATTCACACAAGAACCCTCCTGATGATCGTTTAGAAACCTTAGTACTACCAGGTTGAATGCTAGGATTTCTCTTTGCTCAGTTGCACAAGGGTGCTTGGAGAAAAATCATAGGGGTAATTAAGTTTTTCAACTATAGTTCTCTAGTTCATTCTATAAATCTTCAAAGATGAGTTTGATATCAGTTTCTCTGTTATGGCCCTTCACTTTATACCTATTTCTGAAACTTCCAACATCTTAACACCCAACATACATATATAACATGACAATCAGTTGCATATTTTGGGGAAAATAAATTCCACTGAACTAAGGTTTTAGGTTCCAAGCAAGCATGTCAAGCATTATATTCCTCACAGTCACTCATGCTCTTGTCACCTTTAGATGTCACGGTTAGATTATTGCAACATGCTCTACATGGGGCTACCCTTGAAAAGTGTTTGGAGACTACAGTTGGTCCAGAATGCAGCCGCGCAAGCTATCGTGGGTGCACCTAAATACACCCACATTACACCAATTCTCTGCACTGGCTCCCTATTGGTCTCCGGGCACAATTCAAGGTGTTGGTTATTACTTTAAAGCCCTACATGGCTCAGGGCCAGGTTATCTTCGAGACTGCCTTCTACCAATAGCTCCCAGCGACCGGTAAGATCCCACAGAGTTGGTCTCCTCTGGGTCCCGTCAGCTAAACAATGCCGGCTGGCGGGTCCATGGGGGAGGGCCTTCTCTGTGGCTGCCCCAGGTCTCTGGAACCAGTTACCTCCTGAGGTCCGGACCACCCCCACCCTATTGACCTTCCGAAAAGCAGTGAAGACCTGGCTTTTCCGGCAGGCCTGGGGCCATTGATCTCGCTGTTGCGATCTTGTGAGATCCGGCCATGAATGATGTGAATGGGTTTTAATTTTTAAATGTTTTTATAATGGTTTTTTTTAAATGCATTGTAAGCCGCCCTGAGTCTCCGGAGAAAGGCGGCATATAAATTGAAATAATAATAATAATAATAATAATAATAATAATAATAATAATAATAATAATAATAATAATAATAATAATAATCCTAGTCCTGGCACCATCATTAAAAATATAGTCTTACCGTTTCATGAATGACTTCTGTACATTCACCTTCATGCTTTATTGCAGGGATATGTGTGGCATTCCTGTAAGCAACATACAAAGTGCTATTACATGAGTTTTGATCATCCCAGCTAATTATTGTGATGATCAGTCAAAAAGCCAATGGTTAGGCTATGTTACAGAACAAATAAAACCAACAGACACACTCACATTTACAGAAGACACAAAAATGTCAATTTAAAAGTGGAGAAATACTCCAAATCTCAGCTGAAGCATTGGGAATTCTGATAACTTACCCTCTTGAGTTAATATATGGCTTAGTAACCATTATAGACCTTGGCTGTTGTGCGTAATCTAGCATGACAAACTGGATTCTTCCTTTCCAATTGTTCCAGGTTTGTAAGATCATCAAATTTTGGAAGTTCCCATGCTAAAATGCTGACATTTCTTGAGTAAACAAGCAACTTGTATCGCATTTCAGCTATTTTTATATTTAAAATAATGTGAAGTTATCTGAGAGAGCAAGAATATCACGGAAGGAAGATGACCACTCTAGTACCTGCAGGCCCCACACTGTTGCCTTCTGACTTGTATGGCTATGTTATGGCAAGATCAAACACACAATTTATTATTGGCAAAAACCTTCTAACTCTAGGAGCTGCAAGGACTTCCCCCTTTTGCTTCAAGTTATCTCATTTCATTAGTTTTTTAAATTATGTTTTTCATCTGGTATCTTCTGATGTGTAAAATAGAATCTAAAATTCCAATAGAAAGAACAATGAAATTACAAGGGAAATCCCAAGCATTGTATCCCAACTCTGATATATCTTTAAGGTTTTCAGCAAATAAAGTGGTCAGTTTTGAGGATTTATTCATGGGGAATATTGTTGGAAAGTTTATGCTAAAACAAAGGCCTGCACATTCTCTACGCTTGAAGCACACTTTTGTGCTGCAAAATCCAGATAAATTTATCCAATACTTAAAGACTTGGCACACAGACCTTTTAGATTGTCTACCACCATTCATCATCCAGTGGATGATACAATTTGTCAAGTCAACTTCACAAGTCACTGTACAGATGCTTGGTAATTTGCATCAAAATTTTAGAATCTGTTCCTGATCTTCACACAAGATGAGGTGATGTCTTTACATTTCTACAGTCATTGTTTTTTGTCAGCACTATTAAATTTAGAATTTCTTAGATCATCTAGTTCAGGGCTGTCAAACTCATGGCCCGTGGGCCAGAAGCATCACACGCTGGCCATGCCCATGCCTGGTTAAGCAAAGGGGAAAATTGTGATACATCACATGATGATGCCATGACAACACTGCTTTGACACCCCTGATCTAGGTTATTTGCAATTCTCTGCTTCCAAATAAACACCACATACACTTCCTCATTATGAGACAAGTTCTATCTTAATCAGTCATTAAGCAAGCCTGAAGTCTCCAAAAGAATAATGATCAAGATAATATTTGTATGTGCATCACACTTATCCTGCATTGTTTTTATTTTAATTGAGTCTTTTCTGTGTTCATCATAGCAAATCACCAATCAAATATTAGATAGCTTGCTATGGTGTAAACACAATTAATACTCTACTGCAAAGGTGTACATGAGTCAAATTACCTTTACAGTGAAACAGGAAACAATGTTTATACTCACATAATTGCTAAGCACAGGAAACATTTATTGCTGTATGTTTTTGCATCGGTGCCACAAACAGGAGACCACAAAGCCTGGCAGGAAGTCTTGTTCTTTTTAAGGTTGGCTAGAATTATAATGCAGTTCAGCTAAAAGCAAAAACAAAAAACCTAGGATCATTCCAAGCATCAGCCTAGTTTTAAATTTGCTCAAGTAATGAAAGCCAGCTCTAAGGACAGATTTAGCAATGTATTTCTTGCAACTGGCTTCAGTTGGAAATGGAATTAGTACATACAAATAAGTTGATCTAAATATGTCTATTATAAAGCAAGTCTATCCAGTGCAGTCTCACACTAATAGTCTTCAATTCCTCATAGAGAGCTTGAATTCCATAGGTAGAACCCCCTGTCTACCTACATCTGAAAAGTCCCCAGTAGTATGAAACAATCACATAGTACCTCCTAGTGGTCAATGTAGGTGACAATACTGCACAGAATGCACATTGTTTGAAAGAAGGCATTGGGTTGGGGTAGAAGTCATGTAAAGCTCAATTCACATACAGATGACATAGTGTAACATCTTTATCTCTGCTCTGGGTGCTTAAAGAAAAGTTGTGTGTGTGTGTGTGTATAGCCAGGTTCTTCCTATGTAAACCAAGATTTTTATGCAGCCCTAGTTCAGTGAAATCCCAATCCACTAGCTAGGACTGCATAAAAATCTTGGTTTATGTAGGGAGAACTTGGCTAAAAAGAAATACACATAAAGGTCTACGAAAAGAAAAGAATATATGTGTGTGTGTGTGTGTGTGTGTGTGTGTGTGTGTGTGTGTGTGTGTTTCTTTTAGCCAGGTTTTTCTTACATAACCAAGATTTTTATGCAGCCCTAGCTCAGTGGAGTCACATCCACTCGATTCTGGGCTTTTTTCTTCTGGCAGCCAGCAGGCCCTATGCTACCTAGTGAGAGACTTATATAGATCTATTTCTGGCTCATTAGCCATCATCAGTAAGCCACACCCACATCTCATGTATCCTCCCTGTAAAGGTACAATATCTATTTTCTTACTCTTCGTAACACACATAAAACCTACGAAGAGTATATATATATTTACACACAGTATGTAGGTCTTTGGTTATTCAGGTTTTCTCCCACGTAAAATTGGAAGTGTCTTGGCAACGTTTCAACGAAGTCTCATTCGTCAACTTCACGCTGGTGTTTTCGGCTTCGTGCTTCTAGGAGCAATGTGTGATCGCAGCTGTTTCTTCCTTTTAACTGCCAGTGGGGGTGTGAACTGATTGGGTGGGAGCTTGGCTGTGTTCTGATTGGGTGGAGGTGTGTTCTGATTGGGTGGGGGCTTGGCTGTGCTCTGATTGGATGGGGGGTTGGCTGTGCTCTGATTGGATGGGAGTGTGTTCTGTTTGGGTGGGGGCTTGGTTGTGCTTGGGTTAGTCTGAATTGCAGGGGGATTTGAGCTGGTGAGCTGCATTGCTGTTGTTTGGCTTTGCGTTCGTGGCTGTGCCACATCTTCATGGTAGGTGTCAGTTTGCTTCATGTATGGATTGGAGGGGTTTAAAGTGGCTAATGATCCAGCTGTGATCTGGCTTCTGGTTTGTAATATAAATTTGAAGAGTTATATTAATCCTCACAGTCTGTCAAATATATGCCAGCTTTGTCAACATTTATACACAAGACTGCATTTCTATCAACTGCAAATATCTATGATTCAGCTGTAAAATATGTGCAAAATGTAATATAGCTGTTTGCAAACCCAAAATGCAAATGGGGGAGAGATCATGAAACATATACAAAGTTACCAACTAAAGGGATAACTGCTGATCTTCATAGACTTGTCTTGATTAAAATGTCTTGAATTAGCTATAATAAAGCTTTATAGCTTTATTAGCTATAAACTCAAAACTACCACCTGTTGATCTGACTATAGAAATGTAGATTATTACCCCAGACCATTATATACCAAGTAAGGCCAGATGGATTAATAAATCTACCTACCCAACAACACACCTGCATTCTTTGTATCCAGCTGATATCCTGTGAAAGATCACCTTTGACAGAAGATCCAATAATTGAATAGATGATAGAACTGCTTTGATTTCTGCCACTAGAGGGCAACACTTCTGTCCAACAATGACAGTATCAATAAAGCTGTTCTACAATGTATGGAACAGAATTGTGTGTCCATTTTTAAAGGTGTTTTGTACTTAAGCATAAATGCTACTTTTTCTGTAGCAACTCTGGAAACATGAAACACCAATCTTTGCTAATCTTACTAAAATTATATTGTCCAAATACAGGTTCTTGACCAGTGATAAACATTTATTCCATTTTTATATTAGGAAAGACTTTTACCTTGCTGTCAATGGTAGCGCCAGTTTTCTTTCTGTTTCTTAAAAGATCTTTTCGACAATCTGCACTATATGAAGAGTCTCCTGACCTAGAAGAAATAATATGTACATTCATCTAAGTTTTTAATGGTGAACATATATCCAGTGATGATCTCACTGATGCCAAATGCTAATCTGATCAAGATTGCATCATGATCAACACAACATGTTCTTGCATGATTTGAATGAATTGGCTTCAGATGCTAGCATGAGTAGGATTTTGCTGACATAGAGACTAAGTTGACCTTGATAGACATATGCAGAAATTATTGCGTAGGCAAAAGGGGCTGCAGGGTTTGTTAACGTCCGAGATAACATTTGGTAGTGGATCAAGAAGTCACCTCCCTAATTCAGTATAAGGAGGAGGAGGAAGTATAGCATAGCCAAACTTGCAAGGTTCTGTTATTAGAGCCAATCTCAATAAAAATAGTAAAATAGTTTCAGCCTTCCTAAGGCATTGGTTCCTTGGTCTGGTCTACCAGATTGCTACCAAGGATTCGTTGCTTGTACTTTATAACCTGAGAAGGGAAACTGATGAATCCAAGCTCACCTGCAAGGGTTGGATCTTGGGGTCCTGTGCTTCATTGGTTCTGCTCCTGCCTGAGAGGACAGAACTAATCAATGGAAAAGGGTGGCAAAGTGGTTAGAATGCAATATTGCAGGCTAACTCTGCCCACAGTCTGGAATTCGATCCTGATGAGTTTGAGATTGACTCAGCCTTCCATCCTTCCAAGGTTGGTAAAATGAGGACCCAGATTGTTGGGGGCAATACGTTGATTCTGTAAACTGCTAAGAGAGGGCTATAAAGCCTTATAGAGCTGTATATAAGGCTAAGTGTTATTGCTATCATTATCTGACTGGATTACTGCAATGTTCTGTACATGGGGTTGAAGCCTCCCTTGGGAGCGCCAATGGATACAAAATGCAGTGACTTGTATGTTTCCAAATTAAAGGCATGACTTTTATATAAGACCCATTTTATCATCCCTACATTGGCCACCAATAAATTTTCTGGGTATGATTCAAAGTGCTGTATTGGTCTACACAAAGCCCTATATGTGTGGGACTGAGGTATATTCAGAACTGCCTTCTCCAATAGAAATGTGGTTGTTTCATCAAGAATTTCAATGTTTAAGATGAAGAGAGACAGATGATTGAAAAAGTATTTTTTGTTCCAGCCATCAAGTTATGAACTACCTCATGCTGGAAATTAAGCTGTTAGCTTTGTTGTTGGCCTTCTGGAAGTTAATATTATTTGGGGGAAAATACAGAAAGGAGCATTCACTACAATAACAAGATTTGGCAATGGCTAAAATCAGGAAAGCTAAAGAAAGAGACAGAGGGGATAATTCTGGCTGAACAAAATTAAATCTTAAGAACAAATGTATTCTTTTTCTTCCTCTTGTGCCATATCCGTCACCGGATGTTGGCAATCATGTTGGCAATCCTATTTTTGTCAACAGCCGCATGAAAAAGTGCTGCTGAGTTTTGTCCAAACCAGTCCCTTAGGTTTTGAAGCCATGCTATTCTTCTTCTGCCTGGCCCTCATTTGCCTTCAATCTTTCCCTGGAGGATTAAGTGAAGGATGCCGTATTTTTCTGGGTGTCACATCACATGTCCAAAATATTCTAACTTTCACTTTTTAATGGCTTTGATGATTTCCCTTTGCTTTCCCAGGTGGCTTATCAATTCCACATTTGTGATTTTGTTAACCCAAGTTATGTGTAACAGCTGTCTGTTCAAATTTCAAATGCTTCTAGTTTCAAATGCTTCTAGTTTCTTCAAGTGGTTTTCTGTCAGAGACCAACACTCTACTCCATAGAGCAGGATAGAAAAGATGTAACATCTGACAAGCCTGATTTTCAGTCTTAGGCTTATGTTGTGACTACAGAAGACCTTTTTCATTTTGAAGAATGCTGTTCAAACAAGTGTATACAAAGCCAACATTGAGAAGACAGCAACAGACAGCAAATACCAACTCTGAAAGAAACTGAAGAAACAGTAGACCACCTAGATAGCTGCTACAAAAAGTTCCCATAGACTGACTAGAAACAATGGCATGAAAAAATAGTAACAATGGTGCATTGGAAGATCTCAAGAAATATGGTTTGCCTGCAAACAACAACTGGAGGGAACATAAAGTAATAGAAAGTAAGTGATAAGTGCCTTAGATGCAATCCCAAAAAAACTGGAGCACCACTTGGACACCACTGGCATTAACAAAATCATCATTGATCAACAGCTTTACTTAAAACAGCCTACATCCTGTGATGATGCCTTAACATCATGAAACAATAACATCTGTCTATCCCAGGGTACTTAGAAGGACTCAATAGGTGAATAAAAATATCAAATCCAGTTTAAATATCTCACTAATTGTGCAACCAACCAGAAAAGACAGATATTTTCTGGAGGGCCTTGAGAATAAACTGGCCCCACCTGCACATATTTATATTTTGATAGATTTGCATTTTAGCTTGATTTTGGGTTTTTTACTGTTTCATGTTTGTATTATGTACTCTATTGCAATAATTTTGAAAACAGCAATATGAGCATAAAAGCATAATAACTAAATCCATAAGCAAGCTCCTAGACTATCTTCTGAAATAGTTCATGAAAGCCAGGTGCTTTCATGAACTTAAGTCCACATTGTCAGAAGCCAGGTTGTTAGAGAACTGACTGTTCTTTATGTTTCCTCTTTTGCACTATAGCTACTCTTACACAGTTCTTTGCCTACTTAGCATACTCACCCTCCACAATTGGTACTTGTTCTGTAATCACCATGTGCAATCTTCTCTCCTGTGCAGGAGTTATATCCCACATTGGGTTGAGTCAAACCATCCTGCTGATTGCAATTTCTCTGTCAATAAAGAAGTATATTATTTGCTTGTGGACAAATGGAGGCCTTGAGAGACAAGGTGAGATTGATTATCTCTTGTCCATTGAAACAGATGAGCTTAGAAGTGTTTTGTTATTTCATTGATGGTGAAATTGCAATATTCAAAAGTTCAGAATTTTAAACAGCAACACTTGTATCCTCCAACTCTTTTATGTAAAATTCATCTTATTTAGACCTTGGAAAGGTAGTCCTTGGAAACTTTATGAGTTACAGATTATGTGTTCTTGGCTCAGAATGTCTCCATTTAATCATCCAGTCCTCAGTCTACAAGTTGCTTGAAGTCTCACATGGACAGCCAGATCCCTGAATCATATGCGGTTGTTCCCAGATGGGCCATTCCCACCATAGTCATCAGCAACCATAGAAAGAGATCATTAATATGTTTGAAAAGTTTTAATTTTGACCATGACTACAAATTTTATATTTATTAAGATAATCAACTAATAGAACGGGTACTATGAGATAGCCAATGTATGTTGATTTTACATATGCAAGTACCTCTGTACCATAACCAGTATTTCTAAATATATTCTAAATAGGGGTAGAACCTCCTGGGTGGTACAAATATATCAGATTAATGTTGCAGTTGTTATGAAATCCTTGAGAAATGTCTAGAGCCGTGATGACAAACCTCTGGCACACAGAGCCATATCTGTGGGCACATGAGCATTGCCCTAGCTCAGGTCCAATGCACATGCGTGCGCTGGCCAGCTGGTTTTTGGGCCTTCTGGGCCCACCAGAAGTCAGGAAATGGGCCGTTTCCGGCCTCTGGAGGACTTCCGGGGTGGGTGGGTGGGGAAGGTCATTTTCACCCTCCCCAGGCTCCAAGAAAGCCTCTGGAGCCTGGGAAGGGTGAAAAACGGGCCTACTGGGCCCACTGGTAACCTTTTTGCCAAAAGAAGGGGGAGTGCAGAGGTGGTCGCGTGTGCATGTGTGGGGGGCATTGAATTATGAGTGTGGGCACATGGGTGCGTGACCCCCTGCGCTCCCCCTGCTTTTGGCATGCGACAGCAAAAAGGTTAGCCATCACTGGTCTAGCGCAATCTACAGTCTTAGGAAAGAGCTTGGTGGAAAACAAAAAACAAAGAATAAAGCCAAATAAACAACAACAGAAAAAGTAAACATGGAGGAGGTTCTCATCCTAATATAGTTAATGGAATGAGATGTTGGATATAAAGATTAATGGGTCACAAACAAATCTGTCAAAATTCCTGAACCATATGGGTAGGAGGCTGTAAATGTCTTCGGCTTTAAAATGTTAATACTTGTTACCTGTTTAAATTGGCAATATGATTTGTATAAGGCTTATTGTGGAAGGAAGGAGCAAGGTTCCTTAAGAGACAAAGTCATAAGAAAGAAAGCAATAATTTGTTAACATGCAACATTGCATCCTGAAATGAAAATTATTGTGCCTATGAATTATTTAATGCCCTATGATTTAAGTATTTCAAAATAAGTAGGTAGGACATTTGGAAAGAAGACTTGGAAAGAAGTACCTCTGAAAAAACATAATACAGTTGGAGTGGTGAAAAAAATAACAAAAATGACTTGTTGTTGGAAGTAACTGATATATTAGGCAAATATATCAAGTTTGGAACTTTACTAGTTAAAAAAAACAACAAGTTAAACGATATGTCATAAAATTCCACTAAATTATGTACAATATGGAGAAATTTGTTTGTTGTTCTCTTCTTTGTCTGTTTGAAGGCGCTCCTGTTGGATTTGTCCACAAAAAGATCCAGCAGGAGCTCCTCCATAACAGACAAAAAAGAAAACAATAAATGGAGCAATGTTGTCATTCCATATCTTGCTGGAATATATGAAAAGTTTGGGAGGATCCTCAGCCAACACAATATAATTGCACACTTTAAACCAGGAATACATTAAGGCAGAAGCTTGTCCATCCCAAAGACAGAACACCCAGACACAAACTGAACAATATGGTATAGCCAGTGGTGGGATTCAAATAATTTAACAACCGGTTCTCTGCCCTAATGACCAGCTGAGTAGGTGTGGCTCTTTGGTCATGTGACTGTGTGTGTGTGGCTAACTCAACATCACTCACGTCGATGGGTGCTTCGCCTTAGCTGTTACAATGTAATAAGGGTTACCCAGAGGCAGTTTCTGTAAGCAGGGCAATAAAGATTAGGCTAGAAACACCATTAGAATGTTTCCTTCCTGCCTTCCTTACAGGATTAGCCTTGTAAAGTGGAAAAAAACAAAAGGAGATTTCTTCGAAACAACTGGTTCTCTGAACTGTTTAGAAAATTAACAACCGGTTCTCCCAAATAGGTGCGAACTGGCTGAATCCCACCACTGGGTATAGCCAATGCAATGCAGTGAGACATGTGCAGACCTGTACATTGGGAAAACAAAACAACTACTTCACAAATGCATGGCACAACACAGGAGACAAACTCATCAGGCTAGGATTCAGCAGTCCATCTGCATCTGGATCACTCTTTTTGAAGACAGAAAAGTTGACATTCTGGATGGAAAGGACCACTGGTTTGAAAGAGTCAAAGGGGCCATCTATGTTAAAATTGAACAGTCTTCCTATAATAGAGGCGGAGGAATACAACAACACCTATCTCCTCTTTACAATGGAGTCCTTTCAGCATCCCAAGAAGGTTCCACACCCATCTATACTCTGATTCAGGTGACTCAGAGGATACAGATAAACCCTCAAGTGGACTCAATGACTCTCAGTGCTAACAACCAGATGACTGCAAAGAATATAAATCCTTCCATTCCTCACCAGTCAGTTAGAACTGAAGCAGCTTCTTGGATGACAAGTGAAATGTTTACATAGAAAAAGCCAAGAAAGTCCAGTTGCCTTTTGAAAAAAGCACTTTTGAGATTATCCGGATTAAAAGGAGAAAAGATGATTCAGAGTACGCCATCACACCAACTGCTTCTTACACCAAACACGTTTGTTCCTAGAACTGTTGGCTCTCTGATGGTAATACTCCTCCACTCTTAAAGTACCTGTGGTCTAATATAATTTCATTTAATGAAATTAAATGAAATATTCAGATCAGAGAAATAAAGTACTTTGTTACCTAGCACACATGGCATAAACCACTGAAATGGCTAGCACAGTGATGGTGAAGCTATGACATAAGTATCAACAGGCATGTATCAAAGGTGACATGCCTGTTCACCAACACTGACAGCTTCTAATCTCTTTAGTCTGCCGCGCCTAGTGACGCAGCAGACTAAAGCACTGTTATTAACAGTTATTAACATCAGCTGCCTGCAATTACTGCAAGTTCAAATCTCGCCAAGGCTCAAGGTTGACTCAGCCTTCCATCCTTTCTAAGGTAGGTAAAATGAGGACCCAGATTGTGGGGTCAATAAGCTGACTTTGTATAAAAATATACAAAATTATGAAGGCTATTGCTTAATGCATTGTAAGCCGCCCTGAGTCTCCAGAGAAGGGCAGCATATAAATCAATTTTTTTAAAAAAGCCCATCCTTCCTCCCATTTTTTGATGGGGGGGGGCTACAGAATGGAATGTGCTCTTGCATGGCATTCAGAGCCTCCAAATATTTTACACAAAGAGGGCATGCTTTTGCACAATTTTTGGAGCCTGCATATGCAGCAGGAGAGCATTCTCTGAAGCTGCTTCAGGAACAAAGGCCTCAAGTGGATGTTTTTAAGGAGAGTCTAGACCTGTGATGGAAAATCTATGGCACATCAGTGGGCACGCAAGCTCAGCTCTGGTGCGCAGGAGGTCCCACCGGAAGTTAGCAGGCCGTTTCCGGCCTCCGGGAGGGTGGGGAAGGCTGTTTTCGCCCTCCCCAGACTCCTAGAAAGGCTCTGGAGGCTGGGAAGAGCAAAAAATGGGCCTACCATGCCATTGCGTCCCAGGAGCGGGGGGAGTGGGGGGGGCTATGCACATGCATGGGGCAGGGCGCATAGAATTATGGGTGTGGGCATGCGCACAACCCCCACACTCCTGGCACACGATGGCAAAAAGGTTAGCCATCACTGGTCTAGACAGTCACTTATCTGGAATGTATCGGTTCTCCTGCTTGAGCAGAGGGCTGGATTAGAAGACCCCACTAAGGTCCCTTCCCGTTCATTCTGTTCTGTTCTGTTCTGTTCTGTTCTGTTCTATTCTATTCTATTCTATTCTATTCTATTCTATTCTATTCTATTGATCCAAAGCTGCCTCAGATAGGCCTCAGGCATCTGTCAACAGAAAGAAAACACCACCTGAAGGTAAATAGTGAGTGGCAAATCCTGGTAAGGGGGACGGTGTCACACACATGATTGGCCATTTAAAAAAAGAAAAGAAAAGAAATGAATATGTAAAAAAAATTGTTTCTCTTCATTGAGGATGGGGTTTTTTGACATGCTAGTAGAGTCAAATTAGGTGTTTTCTGACATTTTGACATGCCGATCCCAAAAGGTTCACCGTTACTAGGCTACCACAACATGTAGCCGTGGGTGCCACTTTAAAGAGCTTCAAAGAGAAACGAGGCCTGTTCATGTAGTCTGTGATCAAAGTTTGTTAGTCTTGATGCCTATCTTCAGTATCAAAAGCAGCATGCTTGTGATTGCTAGTTTCTGAGATAGATGAGAAAGAGATTGTTGTTTGCTCATTCTCTGCTCCTTGCTTTTTGCGTGTGGTTAGTCCCTAAGGGGAAAATGTGCAAGATATGAAATATGCAATTATTTTATACCACCAGAACTACCAGTAGAAACAAGAGATGCAAGACAAAGTTAAATTCCTCATCGTTCTTTTAAAAAGAGACACACAATATTTGATTGATAGCACTGTTTGGTAGAACACTGATCTATTAATTTTCCATTCTATAAAGTTAGAAACTGAATCTGACAATACCGCTGATAATTCTTGTATACATCTAATAAATACACAAGAAAAATGTATGGAGATTTAAGATACATAATGCATTTCATAGTAATCAGATTTCCATAACTAATCCCTTATTTGGTTTTTTTGGCCTTCCTCTAGAAATAATGGATGAAATGCACAAATTTGCTCTTGGATACCACTTGGAAGATTTGCACTTTTTTTACCTGAGCTTCTAATCATGATTATATTAACTCAGTTTCCTGAGCTGGTAGGATTGTTTCACCGGCAAGTACGCATATGGATATCACCTGTAAAGTTAGATTTTATCAACTAATGAATGGATACACATTGATCAAAGGCAGAATAGGTATCCACTTTGCTAATACAGGTAGTCCTTGACATACGACCACAATCGAGTCCAAAATTTCTGTTCTTAAGTGAAACATTTGTTAAGTGAATTTTGCCCCATTTTATGACATTTCTTGCCTCAGTTGTTAAGTCAATCGCTGCAGTTGAGAAGTTAGTAACTCGGTTGTTACGTGAATCTAACTTCCCCATTGACTTTGCTTGTCAGAAGATCTCAAAAAGTGATCACATGACCTTGGGACACAGGAACAGTCATAAGTATGAACCAGTGGCCAAGCGTCTGAATTTTGATCACATGATCATGGGGATGCTTCAAAGGTTGTAACTGTGATGAACTGTCATAAGTCACTTTTTTCAGTGCCGTTGTAACTTTGAACGGTCACTAAACGAGCTGTTGTAAGTTGAGGACTACCTGTATAACTACCAACACTGCTCCAAAGAAAGAGAGAGTCATCGTAAATAATACTTTTGTTTTAACACTGTCATCTTCTTTCAACAATGAAGATCCTGTTCAATATACTAGTATCATTAAGTTGCTCTCAGCCTGAGGCAAAAATAGTTTGTGTCAAAACTCAGCGTAATAGGAATGACATACAAATACAGGATGCTGGAGCTATTATTTGAGACTTCATCATCTCCCAACACCTCATTACACCTCTTTGCAATTTTACAGCAGAGCTCTGATGAACCTTCAAGTAAATCACAGGGTTCCCTGCATGTATTGCTTAGTATCAGCATATCAAAAAGCAAAACTGGACAACTTCCAAATATTATTAACTTAGTAATGTAGGGAGATGTATTTGTTAGATAACTAGCAACATCCAGCACAGAATTCACAAAAATCTTCTCTGGCTGCCTGCTGGTCATCTTTACGTCACAGGACCCGTCTTCCATAAATGGAATGGAATTTATAAACCAAACACTTCCTTTTAAAAGCTACATTTACTACAGCTATCTCAAGATCAGGGGTGCTATTCAGCAGGGTCTGACAGGTTCTGGAGAACTGGTAGCGGAAATTTTGAGTAGTTCAGAGAACCGACAAATGCCACCTCTGGCTGGCCCCAGAGTAGGGTGGGAATGGAGATTTTGCAATATCCTTCCCCCAGGAGTGGGGAGGGAATGGGGATTTTGCAATATTCTTCCCCCAGGAGTGGAGAGGGAATGGGGATTTTGCATCATCCTTCCCCCAGGAGTGGGGTGGGAATGGGGATTTTGCAGTATCCTTCCCCGGGAGTCGGGTGGGAATGGAGATTTTGCAGTATTCTTCCCCTGCCACGCCCACCAAGCCACACCATGCCCACCAAGCCATATCCACAGAACCGGTAGTAAAAAAAAAATTGAATTCCACCACTGCTCAAGATGACAATGAAAGGAGTAGAAAAACTAGCTTGTAGTCAAAATACTTCAGATCTCAGAAGCTGAGTGTAAAGTTAATAAGCAAAGAAACAAAAAGAAACAAAAATCTAAATTGCTGCAGCAAAAACAGATAAGAACCTTCTGCAAAAGTTTTGATTGTTACGATAAATCTCCAGTAAAATTACATAATTCGTATCATTGCAGGATGACATCAAAATGCCTTTGAAGTTACTAGCCCTCCTTTGCCTCCCCAGGGGTGCCCAGGATTATTTCTGTACTTTGACAAAGAAATTTAAGAAGACTACTGTGAAGTAACAAAATTCAAATTCATTTTTAGATTTCACACTATTGGAGCTAGGATCCATAGAGATGGAGAGAACTTAATTCTCCCTCCCAAAAAGTCTGCTATTACCAGCTTTTCCCACTTGGTGGCTACCAGCTATGCAGCATCGTCAGAGAATTCTGGAAATTTTAATTCCAACATCTTGAGGAACTACCCTATTGGGGAAGTTGAACATAAAAATTCATTATTTTATTCCAACATAAACACAGGAAATGAGCAACAGTCATTATGTCTGGATTTGTATGTCTTTTGACACACATTCAGACAAATTCTTTGGTCATAATTTTAGCACATTTACTTCTTATATTGCTGGGAGTTGCCAGCACTTCTGTTTAATACTAGGAAGATAAATCTCCAGTATTACTGCTACCTGTTCTCATTCAACTGGAAGAAATAGAATTGGTGATAGAAAAGTCTTGAAAAAGAGAATGTTGGTAAAATTCTGGTGTGAATTCTGTTCTTCTTTCTCTTTTCTTTGCAATGTCTCTGATTCCCCATTTTTCAATTACATGTCAACAGAAGTCAGTATGAGTGAAATCTCCCTCTGCCCTGCTCCCATTGGGGTTTTTCAGCAATAACTCTACTCCAGAGAGATCTGCCCTTGGAGTATTTTCTGGAAAACTATTTCTTCCCCTAGAGAAATTTAGAACCATCAACCACCTTATTTCTCAGACCATCTCTTGAATGGGGGAAAAAATGGAACACCATTTATGTTCTTTTCTAGTAATAACATTTCATGCTTCCTGTCCTCCAGCTTTCTGCAGTCTTCAGTATGATCTTGCCTATAAGCTACATTGCTTTGAGAGTACATTGCTCTCAAATTACATCTTATGCTATAAAATAGTTTAGTCCAAAAATTTCCACTTTCTGAAATGCAAATGGTGCTGTTTATCTCTCTTCAGCTCCAAGATAACTATTCATTTCCCTCAGAAAAGACTTCATCTAGATAAGTTGGCATTCCTCAAGAAGAGCCACTACAGAAAATATGGATTTTCTGGAAGTTGTTGAATGTGAATTTCCATCATGCATGCAAGACTCACACAGGAGAATAGGAAGTGTCCATTCGTCCATTTCCAGATGTAACTATATTTTTATTTTAAAATAAATAAAACTATATCTTACATACCATCTATTTTTTCTTCCCATATGTAAGTCTCCACCATATTATATTTATATTCCTTAAAACTGAATTCTGAATTTTCTTCATTATGATATCTCCCAGCATATCATAATGTATACAAACTGTGGTTGGTCTTCTAAAATAATTTGAATACTACTGCCTGCCACATGATCCCAGACTGCCAATCCTCAACTGCTGCAAAAGACAATTTTTGATATGATGTTTCTGTTTTCCTTTGAAAATATGAAATCTTCTTAACCTGAAAAGGCTTTGAGGCTATGATTGTTATGGTGTAATATTTGAGCTTCCTCTGCCACAAATGCTACAAACAAATGAATCATTTGAAGCAAAACAAAATGGGGAAAAATATCTGTTTTCACAGTTGTGGAGGTAATGGCCAGGTAGAAGTTTGAGTAATATTCCCCCTCACCTCATTTAGGTTTCCTTGCTTCCCTTGAGTAGCTCTGTTGCTATTTGAATATGGGCTTGGTTGTCCTTTTCCACTTCCACCCAAAATCTTGCCTTGTCTTGCTTCTTTTTTGCTAGAAGACACGGAGCATAGAAGAACAGAAATTGGTTTTCATAGTCCAAGTGCTTGTTAGAACTCAAAATGTTTAGTAGAAGAGCAAGATAAAAACACACCAAAGCAATATACAAAAGTGGAAACAAAAGGAAAGACAAGATGGCCAAAAGATGGCATAACAAATGCTAATGAAAACACAATTGGGATATTTACATGTAACTTAATTATAAATTATTTTTTAAGGATTGTGGCTTGGCTTGCTGAAGCAGTTTAACAGAACTAAGAATGAGCTAAATGGAATAAATCTAGGTTTTTTTTTATTGTTGAGATCCTGTCTTAGTTGAGAAAGTGACTGGATGACTTGAGTCGAGCCACAATATCCAAACCTAATCTATCTCTATTTGTTATGTTGGATAAGAAGAGGCAGAGAAAAGTTCATATCTATGGCCTTTGTCTTATTGAATGGGTAGAGTTCAGATTCAATAAGTAAGGTGAATTTCACAAAGAGGATCACAGTAAGAAGACTCCACCAAGTTATCCAACTTGAACAGCCCATTAAAAATCATTAGTTCTTTGCAAAAATTATTATTATTGCTCTCCCCCAGAGCACTATATTGAATAGTAGAATTGCTTTGGAAAAGTCTCTACGAATGTGTGAATTCTATTATCTGGCCAAAGTGGATCATTTCAGGCACAGATTTTTGTAAGCAATGAATGGACATCGAAGATAATGAATTAATGACTCTTGTCACAGTCCATCCTGGGACTACCATATATGTGCCTGGAATACAGCTTCTAATCAACTTCCTCTCTCTTTCTCTCTGGGTGAAAAGGCTGAGGTCTAAAGGCATTACTAAACTGCCATTCTTCACAGACTTGACTATATCGTTTTTTGATGTACTCTAATTCTATGTATTGTAGAAAGTCAGCACCTACCCCCCCTTCCTAGAAGAATGAAATATTTTGGAGAAATAAGAAAAAGGCAGAATATTATATTTTCCCAAAGGCAGAAATGGAGAAACATGCTTTTTTTAAAGACAGAAAGCAGACAGAAAGCAGACTGACAGAAATCAGTCTTTCTTAATAGCCCCAGCAGATACTGAAGAGGCAGCTTTCAGAAAAGCAGATTTGGTAATCCATTCAAGACAGGATATTTTGAAACTCCCTGCAGCAAAGTTTAAACAAAGGCAGGATTAGGTAGAATGGTAGTATTAGCCGTCATTCAAGATCCAACACAGGACAAAGCCATTAAGCCACAATAGGAATTGCCCAACACCCTTTCAGAACCCAAGCCCTTTCATTGCATCATGCCAAACTTCAACCAAACCTGGGGGCTCAGACAAACACCTAGGATTTGCATTTCCTCTTCTGCTTATAGAGCCATCTATGACCCCTACATGGCCCCATGGGAGTCTGACAACAGCCAATAGAATGTATGTTCTTGCACAGGAACAGGAAGCTCAAATGCAAAGCCCAAGAAAAGGTATAACACCCCCCTCAACTCCATGTGGTCAGCTGCACCAAAACCATGTGCTTGGTGGTTCTATTCATCATTTAAACCTTCTTTCCAATCAGCTTCCATGTTTCCAGTGTCTTTCTCCTGGCTTGGAATTGAACCAGATGGATATTTTTCCCGCAATATAAATATCATTATTTAGTTAAAGCACTTACAATTGCTCTGCACACATGATGCACTTGTTGCTGTGAGTCCGGCCAGAATCATCACGTACTGGATCATTCTCACGTGTACAAGTGAGTTCTCCATTTGGCCCGATCTGTGACCGATATTCATAGCAATTATCAAACCTCTGGAGAGAAAGAATATAAAATGATTTGTACTGATTCTTAGAAACTATTATGCAAATGCATCATTGATATACATTATCTTTGTATATCATAAGGTCAACCATGTCACCAGTCATTGAGAACCTTCCTTGAGGTCATTAAAAGCATTATTTGGTGTTGTCTTGATATTGAGTCCAATTATCTTTCTTTTGCAAGGGTATTCAAAGTGTGCCATTGATCCAGTTAATAAAATTTATTTCAGCAAGCCTGAAATACAGTCAATTTTCCCTAACCATAGCAGCAATTGCTAGGTAGACAATATCGTGAGGATAATTCAGAGAATCCGCATCTCTGCTTCAATTGCTGATAAAAAAATAAGTGTTGCAAAATAAATGCAATAAAAATGAATAAGGCCCACAATATGATCTTCATGCACTGTGGCAGACCATTATATACTTGCTGCTTTAGATGGAAGATGGAAATACAGGATAAATATCATTTATTTTTTCATGTTGAATTATAACAGATATTATATATTATCAGGCAAAGATGAAGATTTAAAAATGATACTAAACTTATTTAACCTAAACTTCCCTGATAAACCCACATAGTACCTGCTATCAAGAAGGATAATTCAGTCTGTATGCAATTTAATGAATGAGATTTTTCTCATTCATACCTTAAACAGGACAAGCATATTTTTAATACAAGACGTATACAGTTAGTCCTCAACTTACGAGCACAATTGAGCCCAAAATTTCTGTTGTTAAGTGAGATGTTTGTTAATGTGAGTTTTGCCCCATTTTATGATCTTCCTTGCCACAGTTGTTAAGTGAATCTGTGCAGTTGATAAGTTAGTACCCTGGTTGTTAAGTGAATCTGGCTTCCCCATTGACTTTGCTTGTCAGAAGATCACAAAAGGTGATCACATGATGTTGGGACACAGCAACTGTCATATATATGAGCCAGTTGTCAAGCATCTGAACTTTGGTCACATGATCATGGGGATGCTTCAAAGGTCATAACTGAAAAAGTCATAAGTCACTTTTTTCAGGGCCGTTGTAACTTTGAACAGTCATTAAATGAATTGTTGCAATTTGAGGACTACCTGTATTGTGTGTGTTAGTATGCTATACATGCCTCCTAGTTGTTAGATTAAGACAATAGAATGTTGGCTTGCAAGGCAGTCACTAGATTAGGGATCCTAGCCTTTAGAGAACAAGTTTGGAGTATACTGGCCTTTGATTGTACCTATTGATATTGGTCTATTAGTCTATTGTCTATTGATTGAAATGGTCTATTGGTCTATTGATACATTGGTCTATTGATCTATTGGTCTATTGATCTTTTGATCAAAAAGTTCCCTGTTCCAAACTAACTGACAAGGGAGTGCTAGGTATAGAAACTATCTCAAACAGAGCAAAAAGAATTACATAACAGACTGCCATGGAAGGTATGGAGTTCTCCTTAGAGGAACTTTTTAAAAAGGCTCTGGGTGAGAAAAATGAATGCATGAAAATAATTGCTGCTTAAAATGGGAAGAAAATATATGTTGTTTAGGAAAAGATAATTGCAAACAATGTAATCAAAAAGAACAAAAAATCTCACATTATAATAGGCAATGGAAATTCAGAAGCATTTTGATGAAAGGTGAAAGGAAACTTAAAAAAGGAACCTAGAACAGAATGAAGAATGAAAGAGATGAAATGAATTGGAACTGAAGCAGGGGTGAAATCCAGCAGGTTCTGACAGGTTCTGGAGAACCGGTAGCAGAAATTTTGAGTAGTTCGGAGAACTAGTAGCAGAAATTTTGAGTAGTTCGGAGAACCGGAAAATACCACCTCTGACTAGTCGCAGAGTGGAGTGGGAATGGAGGTTTTGCAGTATCCTTCCCATGCCAAGCCCACCAAGCCACACCACGCCCACCAAGCCATGCCACAGAACCAGTAGTAAAAACATTTGAATTTCACCACTGAACTTAAGTATTTTAGAGATTGATATGGGGAAGAGCTTCAAAGAATTTAATTAAAATGAATGCTATATATGTAAGTGTCCATGAAAAAAAATGGATGAAAAGAAGATCACCAAAACTGTGAGAATGTTGACAAGTGGTAAAGGATTTGTATGAAGATGATTGGAAGAATGCCCTTATTTTCCCCTGTACAAAGTGAAAAGTAGCAGCAGTAGATACAAAAAATACAGGGGCAGTTGTGTGATAGAAGACTGATTAAAGGATAGAAGAGGTGGGCAAAATTTGGGAAGTGAAATGGGCCTTTGTGCAGGGCAGGAAAAGCTCAAGCCAGGTGTTTCCTGCACAATGACACAACGTAAAATAAGAATGGGAAAAGGCACAGAAAAAGAAAAGTATGGAGAAGTATAACGATTGGTGTGAGTGTAAACCAGCTTTAGTTATGCTTCTTTTCATTTCCTTTTTAATAGTTTTAATTTCTTTGGTTTACTATTTTTTATTTCTTTCCTGCACTCTTTTCCCCTGAAGTGGTAAAGTCTAATTCATATATGGTAGTGTAATAAAAAAACCTTTGAGCGTGTGCAGGACACAGCAAACTCTTGATAGTGTTTAGCATGCTAGAATATGTCTGGGATGCATGTGTTTTCTTCTTCTTGGTCATTGTGAGCAATTGGATGCAGAATGGTAATGGTGATAGAGAAACCTGGGTAAAATTTGATCTCACCTCATTGTTTCCATATTGTGGCTGTCTCTGTTCAAGAGAATTCATCTTACCTCCATTTTTGCTGCACAAAAAAGTATAAAACATTTTTTTAACTTTTCAGCAGACAGTAATCTAATGTAGTTGAAAATCAATCACATTATCATCTACTCACAACTGCTGTAGGCACATCATGCAGTTATTGTTGTATTGTTTGCCTGAAGCATCATGAACTGGGTTAAGCTCTCTGGTGCAGAAAAAACCCCCTTTAATGAAGTAAGGCCAATATTCACGGCAACTTTCATCCTACGGTGGAGAAAAACAAAGCTTTCTTCTTTTTGTCGTCTCAGTTGAAGATACTATTTATTACAAGTCACCAACTCTGTGCTAACTGAGTTGCACGAAGCAACAATGCAGAATAATAATGCACGTAATTATACTCTCTTACAAAATGCTCCAATTGCTGGTTTTAAAATTAGGATTAAATACACGCTATCCTTTCCCATACAAGTCAATAGAACCCATTGTTTAAAAAATCAATTTCTTTCTTTTCTCTCTCTCAAATCTGTTGGTTGATTTGAGAGAGAGAGGGAGGAAGGGAGAGAGGGAGGGAGATGCACTTTAAACAGTTCATAGTCACTGCTCTGATTTTTTTTTTTTTACTTTAAAAAAGCAATTTTAATATAGAAGGACTAATTCCCTGTCTTCCCTACTTGTGTCAGCTAGACAGCTAGATTCATCCTTATGGCATTTTGTGTGAACAATTGTGCTACGAAAGCTAGCTTTGTGATCCTACAAATGAGATCAGATCAATTAGTCGATGAATCCAAATTGTGCTGTGTAGAAACAAAGAAATTGAGAAAGAAAGGGTCGTTAATGGAACAATTTGCTGTCTAAATGAGAAAAGGCAGGGCCAAGATAAACAAGAAACAATTAGAGCTTAGTTTACATATGGTTCCGTACCTTGCCCTAACTGGAGCAATCATAGCTTATTCACTACTCAATTACATATTAATGGAGTGCCAACAAACTGCTTGGAATTTTCTAAATAGGCAGCTGCAGCTCTGGCTCTGCCCAGGCAAGTATACACAGCACAGTTCTATGTGTGTCTTTGTGCGTATTCAGAGTTCTAAAGCCCATTGAATTGAGTGAGATTGACTTCTAGTAAGTTTATATATCATATAATTCGAGAAAAATCACAAGAGAAAGCAAAATAAACTCCAAGAGCGCTGATTAAAGTATACAATTATAGCCTCAATGCACCCCCCACCCCCCAAAAAAGGATTATACTGTATAATGATTGTTTTAAAATAATTCCTTTAAGGTGAAGCTTCAGAAAGGGTAGCTCTTCTGGGAAACAAATCTCTTCTTAATGGATCTTTTGGCTGGGGCTGTTGAGAAGCATTTCTCTTCCTTTGGCTTAATAATATATGATAACGCCCCAAAATTCCTGATGATCCGGATCTTGTTCAGCTTTGTTTCAGCTCTAACATGGATTAGGGACCAAGACAATTCTGATCAGTTATTTATGCTTGGAACTGAAAAGCAGTGTTTGAACTTTTGAACGTTTCAGTAGTGCTTGATCTTACTGTTCAAAGTATACTTTTGAGAATTCTGGCAAGGATAAACCTCGAATGTGTGGTTTTGAATATGTATGCCACAAAGGCCATGTTTCATGATGTAATACAGGGGTTTTCCATCCATCCATGTGATCTTTATCTTATGCTGTGTTCCATGCCACTACTGTCTATCTAATTCATGAAGATCTACAGTCAGTGAAGTATGAGACGTAAGGCTTATCCGCGCTTAATATTTCAAAAGTTCTGGTCCTGTGCTCCTGATGACTTGATGCTAAACCGATTTAAGAAAACCTGTCTGGACTAAGATGCTCTGGCAGCAGCCTACAGGGGAGTCACTCTTTGGCAGCCTTGCGAACTAGCCCAGACAAGAAGCCCAGCCAGGATATTAGCTTTACCTTTATTGTTAGCTTACATTAACAGAAAAGTCTGAAAGTACATCTTTCTCCCCTCACTTTTACAGTCTAAGAAACTAGGGAGGGTTCCTACTGAGATGGTTGCAATCCTTAATTCCTTCTGCAGGACTCAGCTGCCAGTTGTACAAACTTTATCTAGCCTGCAGCATTTCTATCTGTCTCCCAAGGTCATTCCTACGTACCATCACAGTCCGGACTGCAGGCTATTGTGTTCTCCCATTGGACAAGTCCCCCATACTATAGGGGGCACACACACTATATTACTGTGTGTGATATAGTGTGTACTAAGAGATATATCTTATACTAAGAGATAGATCGATTTTGCAAGCTTTTACCCAAGGCCCCAAACTCTCCATAGGTTGCTTGAAAATTATTTGAAATTTTCTGAGGGTGAATGCTTTTTATTACAAGGGACTGGCAAATCAGGGATTACAGGGGGTTTACAGTATTTGGAAAATAATAACAATAAAGTGAATAGAAAGCAGAAGAAACCCAGTAATATAAAAAGAAGGCATTCCTCCTGGGTTTCAAACCAGCAACATTTGGGTTACAAGGCAAAAGTTTTTAAAGATTGTATTAACAATAGGTTAAAAGAGAGTTTAAAAGTATTAGAGTTAATGCTAAGCTCTGGCTCGGTTGCAAAGGTGGTCCTTCCTCTGCCAAGTAGTTGAAGAACTGCTGAGATTAGAATGCACCAAAATAAAAGCACTCTGGCTGAAGCAGATAGGAGCATTTAATTTGATGTTGAGTGGACAAGCCTACTTTTAAACTGGAGCAGGAAAATGTGCACAGAGATTTCAGACAGATTTGTACTTTCTACCTGCCCCATAACTGGTAAGGACTGCTCACCATGTCCAGAGTGCAGAAATGTGGCATCATCTTCCTCCCATTCCCAGGATATGGCAAAAGCATCCCAAGCCCATGTTTTCCAGCTTTGGTTCATAACTACTGTTCCTTGACCCAAGTCTTCTTTCAAAGAGGATGGACTGCAGTACTGAATTCTGCCTTGGTTGTTCTGATCAGTTCTGATTAACTGCAGAGCGTAGCATGTCCCTGTCTCCAGAGGCTGGTCATAGGCATTAGAAGGGATTTTGGAAGTCTAGTCCAACCCCTTGCCCAAGGCAGAAGTCCTCATACCATCTCAGATAAATGGTGTCCAATCTTTTCTTGAAAACTTTAGCAATGGAACACTCACAACTCCACAAGTCAATTGCTTAAAAGTTCTCACTGTCAGGAAATTCCTCCTTGATTCCAGATTGGATCTCCTTCTGATGACTTCCACTCATTGTTCTTGCCTTACCCTCAGGTGCTATAGAGAATAAATTGACACCCTGTTCCCTGTGGCAGCCCCTCAATTATTAGAAAAATGCTATCATGTTTCCCCTCAATTCTCTTCATTAAGCTAAACATATCTAATTTCTTTAGCTTTCTTCATAGGATTTAGTCTCCAGACTGCTTATCATCTTCGTTGCTCTTCAATACACTCTTTCATCAAGTTTTTATTTTATTTTATTTTTTTGTATTGTGGTGACCAGAATACCAATTGTGGCCTCACAGTGCGGTATAGAGCAGTACTATCACTTCCCTTAATCTTGATATTACTTCCCTGTTGATGCAGCCTAGGACTGCATTGGCTTTTTTGGCAGCTGCAGCACACTGCTGCAGTTAGTACTTGATTTATGACCAGTCACTTAGTGACTATTCAAAGTTACGATAGACTCTCCCCAAAACCTTTATTGCTAGTTGCAGCATTTCACAATTATATGATCATGATTTACAACATTTTTTGCCTGTTTCTGGCAAAAATGTCTATAGGAACACATCAATTCGTTTAATCACCATGGTATTTGTTTAACAACTATGGTGTTTAGTTAACAACCACCTCAAAAAGCCATCAAATTGGGGGTGGTCATGTGGATGCTTCAACCTACAAACATCGTAACTTATAATGAAAATTCATTACGGCCATAGGTCGAAGACTATCTGTACTTAAGTGGTGGCCCATCAGGACACCTAATCCATCTCATAAACACTAATCTTAAATCAGGTTCTGCCCATGCTGTACCTGTGCATCTGCTTTTTCCTGCCTAAGTGTAGGACCTTACTTTTCTTGCCACTGCGCTGCATCTTGTTGAATAGGGATCAATGCTCAAGTCTATTAAGGTCCTTCTGAATCTTGAATTTATCTATCAAAGTATTAGCAATTCCTCCTGGCTTAGTATATTTGCAAATTTGATGAGCACCCCTTCAATCCCCTCATCTAGGTCATTTATGAAGAAGTTGAAGAACACTGGGCAGAATCTTGAGGTATCATCCTTCCCTCCATGTAGATGGAGTTCCATTGAGGACTGCGTGCTGAGTAGGGTTGGTCAGTCAACTGCAAATCCATCCGGTAGTTTTATGGTCTATCCCACATTTATCTTAGCAAGAAATAGCCCATGGTGTATTTTATCAAATGTTGAGCAGCCATTTCATCATGGACTGCTAGGCTGCTATGTCCTCTCCAAGTTGCTGTTTTTAAGATAATTTTGCAATTGTCAGAACACGATCTTCATGCTTGGGTCACCTTCTGGGTGGATTATTGCAATGTGCGCTACCTAGGGCTACCCTTGAAGAACATCCAGAAGCTTCATTTGGTCCAATCAGGCAATTATGGGCATATCTCACCATGCCCATATGACATCTTTGTTCTACAAGCTGCACTGGATTCACATTTGCTTACAGGTGCAATTTGCTTATAAAGATCTACATGACATGGGGACCACCTATATTCCATGTTTTCTACTTGGCTCATTACATCAGGCTGGAGGAGCATGCTCTGGGTCCCATCTATTAAGAGTTGTCATCTAGCAGAGCCTTTTTCATAGCTGTCCTGGCCTCTTGACACCTTTGCTCACTCTTTGACTCTGCTCACTTTTTGGAAAACCTTGAAAACTGGCTTTTTTTTCCATTAGGCATAGAATCCAGGACACAGCCCATGCAATTGGTGGATGGTGTGCTCAGAAGCCGCTATGTGTTAGTTGGTCAGGATTTTTTTTTTAAATAAAAAATATGCATTGTATTTATATTGTGTTTTAATTCTTGTTAGCTGCCCTGAATCTCATTAGTGAAAGAAGGGGAATATAAATAATAATCATATTTAAAAATAGCAATAGCAATAGCCCTTAGACTTATGTACCGCTTTGTAGTGCTTTTACAGCCCTCTCTAAGCAGTTTACAGAATCAGCATATTGCCCCCAACAATCTGGGTCCTCATTTTACCGACCTCGGAAGGATGGAAGGCTGAGTCAACCTTGAGCCTGGTGAGATTGCAGGCAGCCGACAGTCAGCAGAAGTAGCTTGCAGTACTGCATTCTAACCACTGCACCACCACGGCTCTGCTTTAGTATCAAAGGAGATAATAGAGGAAAGGATCTGAAGACAGCCATGTGTACAAATACGGGAAAGCCAAGAATGGCACAGGGCTGCAAAAGGAAAGAAAAAACCCTAAGGGAGAAGGCAGATTAGAAATCAGTCACCAAGGCTTAACTTTGCTGCAAGGAAGTAACGGGCAAGGGGAACCATCAATCCACTCTTGTGGTGTCCATGGTCCAGAATGAGCCCCAACCCTGACCCATAGCCAAACCATTGGCTCTGTATTGAATGTCTGGAGTTGAATAGCTGGGAGTAGCATGGCAGAAAAGCAGCTTAAGTTGTAGGATACAATTGCTCTTAGAGTGAGTTCTGCCCTCCATAAATGGTCATGAGCCACTTCTGATGACAAAATGAGAAGTAAGTCCAGATTGATTGTAGCTGAATAAATAAAATAATTTATATTCTGGATAAGAAAGATGCAGTATTAGATAAGGAAATGGCCAATCTATTATTGTTTTGTACTTTTCATTATAAACAATAGAGTTCGCTCTAAAGGTGGAATATAATTCAAGTTTCAGAGAAGTCCGAAGCTTTCATTTCAACAGCAAAACCCCCAGAGTTTATGTTAAGTTTTTGGTTTAGAGTAGTGTGCTTAAGATTTAGTATGTTTTGTACTTTAGTAACAATCGGCATTTATCAAGTCCCTTCATACCACTCCAGAAGAAGAATCTTTAGACCAGCTACTTCCATTACTGCCAGCTATTCCTCTTTTTCTCCTGTAATAAAGAGATGGAAAAAATATATGGAGAATGAAACTGCTAACTCCCTGTAAGGCAGCATGTTAGACTTTAGCTACCAGCAAGGTAGCTATCAACTATTGGCAGGAATGAGAATTGTGGTAAAAAATCATAAGGTCATTATCCCTTCATTTTATAAAATGAACTTTATAAGGTGCAGCATTTAAGCCCCATATTTTTTTTATTTCCAAAAGAGTTTCTTCTTATAGAATTCCCAATACCTTGAATTTCATGATAACAAAGAATGAAACTATACTATAAATATATACAAAAGGGGGAAAAAATGATGTCAACATAGGTAATGATGAATGTTTTGGATTTTGCATATATAGTTTCTCCCCTTACTGAAGTCTTTCGCATATAATCAAGTGTAAGCCCTACTACCACCATATTACAATACCATCAATAGCTTACAATCTCATAATTATCTATAATAATTTTCTATATTCCATAGAAAATTTGTTGTGGTTATGTTCCATTTCACACTTAGGAAGACTGAGATGCTATATATATATATATATATGGATAAATGTTGTCATGTGAAAGATATGAATATTATTTTAAATTGTGATAGCTGACCATTTTTTAGGAATTTTGGTTGAGAATTATATCAAAAGAGTCCAAAAGCATTATTACTTTGGATATTAAAGTCTGGATTCAAGAAATGTGTAACTTATCACTTTTTGAAGAGGATATTTTTTCCTATTAATCAAGATGAAGCAATATCCCTTTGCTATATATTTCATAATATTTTACAAGAACAGGCAGTTTTTATATGTAATTTAATAACTGGAACTAATTTAAATCTGCTGATCTCCTGCAACTACTAGCTTCCTCTCAATTATAGTCTATGCTCTTATTTACCCAATCTGTATGAATATGGAAAGGTAAACATGTGGTCTATCAGTATAATTAAAATCTAATTTGGAAACTCTGGTCATTCATTTGATGATGAATGAATATTCATCATTCTCATGAAATGAGAACTATTAGATACTTAGAAGCTAAATACCTGAATAACTTCTAGTGGTTTTCTCTGGTTATTTCGATGCTTTCTTGGGCACCTTTTTAGTATAAATCTTGATGAGTTAGGAGAACAGCAGGACTTTAAACTGATCTCTCTGTTTTAAGCTTATACAGGTAGTCTTTGACTTATGATCAATTCAGACCAAAATTGTTGTTGCTAAGTGAAACATGTTTAAAGTGAACTTTGCCCCATTTACAACCTTTCAAGCCACAGTTGTTAAGTGAATCACTGCAGATGTTAAATTAGTATCCCGGTTGTTAAGTGCAACTGGCTTCTCCTTTGACTTTGCTTGTCAGAGGATTGCATGATCCTGGGACACAGCAAAGGTCATAAATATGAACCAGTTGCTAAACATCTGGATTTTTGTCACATGACCATACAGATACTGCAAAGGTTGTAACTGTGAAAATTGGTCATAAATTACTTTTTTCACTGCCGTTTGTAACTTTGAACTGTCACTAAATGAACTGTTGTCAGTCAAGGACTACATCTATGCTGCTTTATCTGCCTTAGCAAAGATTTTCTGCTAAGCAGAAGAACCTATGAATATATTTTTGCAGTAGGAGGAAAAGGTGCAGAGAAAATATTCAGTGTACTGCTTTCATCATTGCATCAGCATCTCTGAAGCAATCACTTGCTTCTAATACTTACAAGAGTTCTCGGCACATGACACACTTATTGGTATGGGTCTTGCCTTCAGGGCCAATAATAGGGTCAATGTCTCTGTTGCAGTATAAATTCCCATTGATGAATAATTGTTGGAATTGCCAGCACATGCCCTCCTACAGAGATAAAAGAGTATTGAATGAAGCTTTCCTGATTCAGGAACTTCTATGGAGAAGTGTGCTGATCCTTCTAACTTGAGGAGCTCAATGATTTTTTTTTTTTTAATCTAGAAAATAGACCCCACACACCCGCTTTACAGTCTGTTTCTGTTGCTCGCCTCTGGGAGGAGGTTTCGAAGTATTTCTATTAGGGCTTCCAGATTCTGTAACAGCTTTATTCCTATGCCATCCATCTGGTAAACTCGCAAGATTTGTTTTTCTCGCCATGTACATACATGTCTATACATCCGACCTAGACTGTGTTGTTTCTCTGGGTCATATAATATATGTGGGTGTATATGCATAATTTTATTTATGTGTTTATTTTTTGTCATGTTTATGTATTGTATGTTGGAGGTGGTGGCCCTCTGAGAACTGTATGCAACGAAATTTCATTTTAATGTATCCCGATTAGTTTACATTTAAAGTGACAATAAAGTTATTCTAAGTCTAAGTCTAGTTCATCCTGAAAAGAATGTGATTATGCAAATGCTCCTCCCCATTTATGGAATTTAATGTGAAGAGCCAGAGACTGGATTTCTCATTTGTAAAACTCCACTTTTCATCATTCCTGTATGTTTTTGTTACCAGAAGTATTAATTTAGAAGTTAATTGAGTTGAACAGGATGTTAGGAAATGCTAGAGACTACCCCTCTCAAGACATGCTAGTTTTTCTTATAATTCTATACCAAGTTACACCAATTATGCCCTGGTACACAGTGTCATAGATGTTAATTTTGACCTAATGTTGACTGTTGGTTAATATTACCTGCAATAACTGACATGACTTTGAGGTTTTCTCAGCTCTGCTTAGATGTGATAAATTGAATTTGGGATGAGAAATGTGTTTTGTCACTGAGCACCTCTGGCCTTAATATGCCACATGTAAATGGACTATGAAAATAACCCTGTAGAAACACTGGGCAAGGACAGAAATGAGCAATGCTTGAAAGGACAAGAAAAGAACAGATAAATCAGAACTAACCTGGTATTTAACTTGACTGGTTACATCTGCAACAAAAATAGAGATACAGATATATTTATCTTTGTGTGTGTGTGTGTGGTTTCATAGAAATGACTAAATTTTACTCAATATTAAAAGATGATAGGCAGTTAAATCTGATATCCTCCAAGCTGGTTCTTGTTAAGCTTTGTTGCATATGAGATAAATAGAGATAGACTTAGACATCTTCAGGATTAGGTCCAGACTTCAAAAATAGTCCTGCCTGCCTCAGACTGGTCAGAGATAGTCCATTCCAAGTGTTTCTGGCTGATTGCATAAAACAAGAACAACAATTGCATTACCTCTACCTTTTCTAGTAATTCGGTAGTGGCTCCAAGGTCTCCCAAGCTGGATGATGACTTTAATCTAAATTTAGAAAAATTACCCTAACACCTGACTGTATTACCATTCTTTATTTGATTATGATAATTCTTGGTTTAGGTCATTTTTTTGACATTCTTACACTTCTGAATAACATTTGCAAAAAGCTTGATTGAGAACTGTTTCCACTTTCACCCTCCTTTAGTTCTCCAATCAGGTTCCTGCATGGCTCTATAATGATAATCCAAGATGAGCCATCTCCAAAATATTACTACCCTTCTAAAAGACTGTGATTGGAATAACCAATGGTTGACTGTTGAAGATATTTTCAGCTGAGGACATGCTAGTCAAGCAGAAGTCATGAGCAAATGTAATTACTTTTTGACTGGTTTTGGTTAGAGGAGAAGGCTTTTTATTCCCATGATAGAGATAGTTTTCCACAGACAGCCATTGACCCAAGTGAAATTCATCTAAATGCAGCACTGGGAAAGACCATGAAATGGACCACCAATTCAGAATCTAAATTGTTTGAATCTGAACCATAGTCTAGGTAAGTAAGCCTCAAAAAGAGAGAGGACCCTTCAGTTTCAAACATAAGCAAATCCACTGGTCTAGAAAACCCAACCTAAAATCCTAGGATAATAATCCAGCCATTGAACTTTCAGTGTTACACCTGACATCCTGCTTTTTACACCCATTATTGCTAAGGCAAAACATCAGCTAATACCCTGTTTCCCCCAAAATAAGACATCCCCTGATAATAAGCCCAATTGGGCTTTTGAGCGCATGGCAATAAGGCCAAGTGCTTATTTCAGGGTTCAAAAAAATATAAGACAGAGTCTTATTTTTGGGGAAACACGGTAATCATTGCAAATGAGGTGTCAATGTCAGGCACTGAGATTAAAAAATATATCCAATAGTTGAAAAAGACTTCTAGACCAGTCTAATTTAATGCTGCATTTAGCAGTTTTTCTGACATTGAAAATCCACATATTTTTTCAGGAAAAAAAAATAACAACTTCACCTGTCTTAATTATAGTACGAACACCCTAATTTTCTTTCTTTCCTCTGTGCATTCTGTTAAAGACAATTTATGTTTCATATTCCACCTATGCACTGATATGAAATTTGAAGTCTTTTATTTTTACCCTTACCTAGCACCAACAAATAAATTACCCCACAACAGTTGTGGCTGAGTTTTTACCACAACAAGTGTGCTCTAATTCAAGTGCCATTCTTTGGTGGAAATAAATAAATAATAAACTATAATAAACCACCTTTTTCTTTTGCAAAAAAATACTATTTATAAAGAATAAAAAGATCATTTATCCATATCATAAATAATTGTGCCAAAAAAGTTGATATAGTGTGAGTAGAGTCAAACCAGATGATTTTTTTTTAGCCCCTTATGCAATAATTCGATATTGTATCTTTGTAGTACAGATGATACAGGACCCAGTCCACATGCAAAAGCAAGATACTCAATATATCTTTCACACAGATCTGTATTAGCTGCAACAAATGAAACTTACCTTCAAACTGGATGAAAAGTGCCAGAATAAAAAAGAGACCTATTGCCTTCATGGTTCGGATAATAGAAGCTCAAGATACTTTGATTCTATGTGCACATTACTCCTAAGAGTTCTCAAAAGGGAACTCAAAGAAGAACTCCTAATCATGTAAATACATATAGGAAGCCAGTTTCTCCACCCACCTGTTGACATAAACTTCAAAACAGCCCTCATTAATTGTGCAAACCAGTCAGATGAGAGTTGATTTTAATTTTAATAAGTCTGTCAACAGAACATCCATCAGGATGCAACAGGGATAGGAAACACACCCTGCAATTTGTCAAAGCATTTGCTAATAAGTTGTGACATTTTTCATCTCTGGCAGATAATGCTAGTGTGTGATATTCACCTGAGGTACATTCAAATCAAAGATGTTTTTGTAAAATTATAATAATATAATTGAAGAGAGACAGGAACTATGTAATAAATACATATTTATTACATGAAGCTAGTAATAAATAGCCTTCAGAAGGCTGCATTTCAATACCAAAGGATCTTACAATTTAACTTATAAATCTAATACAGAGGTGTCAAACTGCCGGCCCATGGACCAGATGCATCATGCGCAGGCCACATCCATCCCAGCTCCGCAAATGGGGAAAATATCACGAAACAACACAGGACAGCAATGTGATGCCACAAGTTTGACACCTGTGATCTAGTACAAGATCAATCAATCAGAATAGAGCTGGAAGGAACATTGGAGGTCTTCTACTCCAACCCCCTGCTCAAGCAGGAGACCTTATACCATTTCAGATAGATGGTTATATAGTTTTTTCTTAAAAACCTCCAGTAATGAAGCACCTACAACTTCTGAAGGCAAGTTGTTCACTGGTTAATTGTCCTAACTATTAGGAAGTTTTTCCTTAATTCCAGGTTGCTTCTCTCTTTGATTAGTTTCCATCCATTGTTTCTTGTCTTGCCTTCTGGTGCTTTGGAAAATAAGTTGACCCCCTCTTCTTTGTGGGAGCCCTTCAAATCTGGAATACTGCTATCAAGTCACCCCAGTCCTTCTTTTCTCTAGACTGGCCATACCCAATTCCTGCAAGTATTCTTCATATGTTTTTGTCTCCAGGCCTTTAATCATTTTAGTTGCTCTTCTTTGCACTTTTTTTTGGTAATGTGGTGCCTCTGTTTATACAAGCAATAATTGTATTAGCTTTTTTGGCTGCTGCCACACACTGCTGCCTCATGTTTAAGTGATTGTTCACTAGGACCCCAAGGTCAATGAAAGTTGAATGCAATTTTTAAGTAGATTTCTGATAAATACCTGATAAGGAATTGATGTCTCATCTAGAAGCTTTTCAGTTTTGTAAAGTTACTGGTGAAAATCATGAAAGAACACCAAGCAACTGGACACTGCAGAAATTCCTGCCTCTCTTCTTCCCCAAAAGAAACCATTTTAGGAGCTGACCAAACAATAGCAGGATTCCGTGTGCGACTTTGAGACAATCCATTTTGTGTAGTAACCAGGAAAAAGGAGTGTGGACACATTCATTTCATCAGTGATTCCTTTAAAAGCCACACCTTTTCCTGAGTTTGCACAGTAGTTGTACACTTGCATTTTTCTGGAATCATATAGTTACCAATTAGAGTAGCTTTATTTCTGCTCTAACTTCCTGACTCACACATAAGGACACGTGTCCTATTACAATTAATGATAAAATAACATTAAAATAATTTGTTTTTAACCTTATACGCAACTTCAATAACTCTTGTTTTTTGTAAGAAACAACATTAATTAAATAAAATTGTGTATAAAAAGGAGTTGAAATTAGAAAAATTCTTCAGAGGAAAATGTTGTTCTTTTTCTACCACATAAACATTCTGTTGGGGATACAACAAATTTAATTTTCTTTAAAGAAAGATGCTTGGGATCTGTGGCCCTTCAGAGGTGACTGAACTACAGCTTTCAATGATTCTTAATTCACAATCCCTATTTAGAGAATTAATGTAATTTGCTAGCAAAGACTATATTATGAATTACCAATCACCCAGAACATTTTCACAAGTATGTAAAGAGAAGTTTTTCAAACAAGAATAGCTTGTCTACATCTTCAGTTCTCTCAAAACCTGATGAAATTTCTAAAATGTTCTACTCAGCCTACTATAGTATGTTGTCACAGACTTTAATAATTCATACCTAAAAGGCCAAATGTGATCTAGGTGGAGATAAACTGTAAGGGTATCACAGAGGCAATACCAGCAGCTGTCTTCCCTTGAGAATAGTCACTTGATTGCATATCCTCACAACACTGAAGAGCCTTTTCTCTGGCACATTGTTATGTTTTCCCCTCAGCTGTCCTCGAAAACCAATACAGGAGGACTCCTTATTCAGAGCAACAATTCTCCTGTGACTCTGGACCCAGAAATAACTGAACATGTTATGTTCAGTTGAACATGTTCATAAGGTCATGTTATGACCTTAATATTAGCCTTACCTCACCATTTTGCATAAATACCCACTGTCCTAAGGACAATTTCATACCGCCCTGCTTCAGGATACAATGTTGTCAGGTTCTATGCAGCAGTGCTCAAAATTCATTGTGGTGGTACTGAAGCAGCCACAGTTTTTCCAAATTTCAATCCCACAGGAGTAATGGGCCTCAAATTTTGGATGTATTCTATGGTATAAGTTAGCACATTTGAAGTACCCTGCCTGGCCTATTGTTGTTGCCCAGCGATGCATCTTTTCGTGCAATTAAATATTTCAAACAGATAATCAGACACAAGAGTTTTACTAGTATAGAGATACATGTCAAGTCACCCTGATAACTATAATAATATATTATACATTCAAAATGCTTCCCAAACATAGTCTCAGTAAACATCGAACTGACATCACTATCCAAATGTGTCCTATCTATGCAGGAACATGTTCATTAAATAAGCAACAACATGCATTTAGCTATTATTTATTAAATAAAACACTACAGCTGGCTTCTTTTAATATGTAAGCAGAGAAAGGACACTGTGACTTAATATTGAATATAAACCCATTCAACTTCTTCTTAGACTAGCTTCTTCCCTCTTTCAGTTAAACTCTCCAGAATTCCCCACATACTGTATAATGTTTTAAAATTAGAAAGTTCAGTCCTTTATCCTAGTCTGTCTGGTCTTCCCTTCCATTTGTAAAATCTATGGTATAGCTCCAGCTATATTAAAACTGAGCTTACTATTTGTATACGCCACTGGATAGAAGATATAATTTATTTTAGCCCCACCTTTGTCTTCCAACCCAGGAGCAAATTTATATTCTAATTTCCTAGATGCTTGTTTTTATCTTGCTTATATCATTGCAAACTGTCAAGCCTTCTTCTTGAGGAAAAGCCTAGACTTTTTTTTTTTTTAAATAATTGGAGTACAGGTAGTTCTTGACTTATGACTGGTTGCCTAGCAACCATTTGAAGTTACAACAGATCTGCATAGGGTTAGGACAGAGATTCAGTTCCAATGGCTACCCCCCCTCCCCCATAAAACACAATCACCTGACCACACTTTGTTTGGTCAGCAACCAAGTCACATTCACAGCTATTTGCACCATCCTACAATCACACAACCATGTTTTAAAACAGTTATACCAAAAACCAGCATTTACTTCTATCAGCCTGTAGCAATCCATGAGTTTTCTTAACAACTGTGATGTTCACTTAATGACTACTGCAAAAAAAGATCATAAAATTGGGCTGGTCACTTGAGTTATCCAATTTATGACCATCGTGAATTATGACTCTGATGAGCAGACTCCATTACAGTCATAACCCGAGAACTATCTATATGTTAAATTTCAACTATCCCTTATATTGTGTTAGAAACTTGTAGTTCTAATGAATGAAAGCAGGTACAAAGTCTGACATTAAAGCCAAAAGTCCCATTTAATTAAAAAAAACTTCAATTATGTAAACTTAATTAGATTTCACCTATATGTCCATGATAAAATGGATATAATACACTCTGGATCAGGTTTTTTAAAATCACTATTATTGTCTTATTTAGTAATTAATGCAGAGGAACTGAGGTCAAGGCTACCCTGGAGAGGATTGTGCTTTGGCCTGAACAGCAGTTAATTCTTTCTTGAGGGATAGGGTAATCCTGCAGACTCTTAACAAGATTATAGCGTGCCCTTTCCACAAGGGGCCATTTTGTGACCCAACTAATCCAGATAGTTTCCATCCAGTCTCCAATCTCCTTTCTTAGAGATTATAGAGAAAGTGTTTAAACGCATGGCAGCTTCAAAAGACCCTGGAGGAAACAGTTATCTTTCAGTTAGGATTCAGTCCAATTTATGAGACTGAGACAGAATTGGGCACACTCTTGGTTGACCTCTAGCTGGAAAGGGATGGGGGTTGTACATCCATCCTTCTTTCTTCTTGACCTGTCAGCAACCTTTGATACCATTGATCAATGTATCCTTGAGGCAGAGGCCATTGCTACCGGCTCACTCATGGGCACATGCACAAAAGTGCCTGAGAGGGTGGGCGGAGCCCCCTGCCACCATCGCTACCGGTTCACCTGATCCGAGGCGAACTGGTAGCAACCCATCACTGCCTTGAGGGTAGGCGAACTCTGTGGTGCTAGTTCTCCTTCCTCTGGGGTCAGTTCCAAATTGGGAAATTGTTGATAATTGGGTGAGAGTGTGGCAGAAGCCCCTACAGAGTTGCCAGGAGGGAAGGACTTTCCCAGGGAATCTTTGGTAGGCAGGAAAAGCTCAAGGGCAGAAATCTTCCCCCACCCCTAACAGTTCATAGGATAAATTGAATAGTTATACAGATAAGTGTTTAGTCTGGCAAATTTCTGTCTATAGGCAAGCAACAGTACAGAAGCCATTCTGAAATAACTCCTCATGTCATTTTGGATTCCTTGATTCTGCAGAGAGTGTTCAGCATCAATGTTTTAAAAACTTTTTATATTTGACAATTTAAGCTACCTAGATTTTTCCTTTATATAATGAGGAAGATTTGTAAATACCAGAACAGGCATATTTAAATCATGGTATTTACACCCATGCAATAAATTGGAGCAATTCAACTTATAAACTTTGCAAATTGGTATACAAAACAATGTATTAGAATTATTTGTATTTAAGTAAATCCCATGTTAATGGACTCCCTT